GGGGGGGGGGGGGGGTGAGGGCTGGCCAAGGGCTCGCCACTGGGCAGCAGGCAGGAGCCGCCCCTTGCAGGAATCCGTGGGCTAAGCAGCCGCTCCGGTCCTGGCCGCGATCCCGGGGAAAGAGGAGCAAGGGGCTTTCCACCTGCCCCTGACCTAACCCCGGCTAGGCTTCTCGGGTTCCAGGGCTTGCAACACGCCTCCGGAAAGGCGGCGGCCCCGCCTTCCCCGCCCCGCCCACCCAGGCGGCCCCGCCCACCGCCCCGCCCCCCTCGTCTTACGGGCTCGCTCCCGTGGCGGGCGCGGGAGGCGCGCGTGCTCCGCGGGCGGCGGGTGCGCGGGCGCGGAGTCGGGAGGCCGGCTGCCGGTAAGAGCGTGGGGTTGCGGAGGTCTGGAGTCTGCAGGCGTGGGGAGGTCCCGGCAGCCGGCGCGAGCGGGTGGTCGCTAGCGGTGAGGCCTCGCCCAGCCCCGGAACCCTCGGCGTGCGGCCGTCCTGCAGTGCTGACGCGGCCTGGCCGCAGCGGCCCCGGCGGCCACTCTGTCCCGGGGCTGTCCCGCGGGTCGGTCCGTCCCGAGGCAGGAGGCGGGAGTTGCTCGGGTCGGTCGATAGGGAAAGCTAGCAGCCTGGGTGTTGTTTGCGCGTGGCCTCCTGAGAGAGCTGCAGAAGCTGAGCTTGCAGGTGGGACAGCAGTCACATTTTAAGGAGGGAATAGCTGGTCGTGCTCTCAGCTGGGAGGCGGAGGCAGGAGGATCTCTCGGAGTTCCAGGCGCGTTCTAGGCTAGCCAGAGCAACGCAGTGAGATCCTGTGTTTCACTGGATAACCGCACAGAACTCAGAAAAGTTAGTCTCCCTCTCTTTCCCCTCCTTTCTCCTGCCCCCACCCTCCATCCCCTCTCATGGAGTGGGGTGGGTTCCTGCTTTCTGCCAACCCTGGTCTAAGTGTGGAAGGGCCTTGAAATGACTGGAGAATAATCTTGGCCCTCATGGCGTTTTTGTTCTAAATGACAAGCGAATGCCGTTTTCTCCTAAGCTGTTTTGTTGGAATAACATGCTTGCAGAACCATAGTGTACGTAACTACTGGAAATTGTTGCTTGTCAGTTTGTCACTTAAGTGAACCCATCTTCTTGCTGTTACTCAGTTCATATAACAATACTCTTAGCATCTTACAAGATCTCCTCAGACTTTCCCCACCACCAGAGTAACATTTTTCTTAATTTGTAGAACCATACAGGTGTGTTGGCTAGTTTATTGTCAACTCCACACAAACTAGACTCATTTGGGAAGAGGGAGCTTCAGCTAAGAAAATGGCCACACGGAATTGCTTGTGGCAAGCCTGTGGTACATTTTCTTTCTTTTGCTTTTTTAAATGGTTTTAAAAGTCAGGGTTTCGCTGTATAGCTCTGGCTGTTCTGGAACTCACTGTGTAGGCCAGGCTGGCCTCGAACTCAGAGATTCGCCTGCCTTGGCCTCAGAAGTGCCACAGTACCTGGCTATATTTTCTTGATTGATGTAAGAGCGCCTGATCACTGTGGGCAGGGCCACCCCTGGGCAAGTATAAGAAAGCAGGCTGAGCAAGCCATGAGGAGCAAGCCAGTAAGCAGCACTCCTCCTTCATGGCCTCTGCTCCAGTTCCTGCCTCTAGCTTCCTGCTTTGTTGGAGTTCCTTCCTGCCTTTCCTTCATGATGGACTGTTACCTGGAAGTCTGAATGAAATAAGCCTTTCCCTCACAAGTTGCTTATGGCCATGGTGATTATTACTGCAGTAGAAACTCTAAGTAAGACAAAGGTGGAGCCCCGTTTTCTTCAGTGTCAAGCTTTTCTTACTCGAAATTATGTTATATGTTCTGTGTTACGAACATACAGTTCTGGTGGTGAACGAAATTAGGAAGAATGTTATAGAAGGCGATGGTACAAACGGTGAGGGGATTGTAGTTTTGGGGGGGGGGGAGGATGGTCTTCCCAAGAGATGACTTCATGGCAGAAGGTTAGCGAAAGCTGAGTTAAAGGAGTGAAAAGAAACTGAGCCTGAATGAACTCACAGGTTATCCCAGAAGAAAGACCTTGTGGCCGAAGGAGGAGATGGAGACGCAGCCAGAGGCAGGCAGAGAGGTTCCATCATCAAGGCCTGTGGCTAGGATGTATGGATTCTAAGTGTGTGGATGTATGATGATTCTGATGTTTTCCACATGTTTATGCCTCATCCATTTCATTCATTGACTCTGCAGAAGTACCAACATGTCGTCATGCCTGGGAGACCCTGACTTAGGCTTAGAAGTCACTATAGAAATTAGTCATTTCTTCTGATTCTTAAAAGTATTTCTGGGGGGCTGGGGAGATGGCACAACAGTTAAGAGTGCTTCCTTCTGTTATAGAGGACCTGAGTTCGATTCCCAGCTGCTGTGTCAGGCAGCTCACAAGTGCCTATAACTCTGGCTCCGGGCGATCTGTCACCTCTGGCTTCTGAAGGCACCTATACTCCTGTGGACATATGCATTTACATCTCTCTCACAACACACACATCACTGAAAATCGAATCCTAATGATTCCTAAGTAGTGCACATCAGTTATCCTAGTGATCAGAAATCTGAGGCAGGGGGATCCCAAGTTTGTGGCCAGTCAAGGCAACATAGCAAGACCCTGTCTCAACATCTAAAATATGAGTCAATCAAATAGTCAACCAGTTTCTGTTTGAACTTGAAGAGAAGCCCATTTGTGTTTGGACAGCTGTCATTCGCACAGACATTTTTTTGCAGTGTTTTATTGATGTTGGATATTGAACCCAGGACCTATGTGTGTAGAACACGCATTTCATCTCTAGGCTACAGTCCTAGTTAACTTCTGTTGCTAATAATTAGTTTTAAATGGGCTATCATTCATAGGTGCATGCAGAACTGAAGTCTGTTAGTAGTTGTGTTATTGCCTTCTAGTCAGCCAGCACTTTCTTTGTTTTTTTTCCCCAAGTTTAAGTGCAGTGCTTTGACTGTACTTGAATTTGTAAACCCTTGTTAGTTCCAGGGTTAGATTCACGCCATAGTTGTTAGAGAAAACTTTTTGGATTTGAGTGTTTGATCTGTTACGTAGCTGTGTCTTCCACCATTGTGCTCTTGGCAAGCTGGGTCAGCATTCCGTGGTTAAGTTCATAATGCTGATGATTCGTTGTTGTCAATACTCTTTTTATTAAGTTTTCTTTCTTTCTCTCTCTCTTTCTTTCTTTCTCTCTTTCTTTCTTTCTCTCTTTCTTTCTCTTTCTTTTTTTCTTTCTTTCTCTCTTTCTTTCTCTCTCTCTCTTTCTCTCTCTCTTTCTCTCTGTCTTTCTTTCTCTGTCTTTCTTTCTCTCTCTCTTTCTTTCTTTCTCTCTCTCTTTCTTTCTTTCTTTCTTTCTTTCTTTCTTTCTTTCTTTCTTTCTCTCTCTCTCTCTCTCTCTCTCTCTCTCTCTCTCTTTCCCTGTGTAATCCTGGACTCATTTTATAGACCAGGTTGGCCTTGAACTCACAGAGATCCTTTTGCCTCTGCTTCTCAAGTGCTAGGATTGAAGGTGTGTGCTGCCATGCCTAGATGAATTAGAAGTGTTAAATGTCTTAGTGGAATTAGATTATAACATTTCAAGTCTGATCCCAGCACTTGGGGAGGCAGAGGCAGGTGGATCTCTGAGTTCGAGATTAGCCTGGTCTACAAAGTGAATCCAGATAGCCAGTGGTGACCCAGAAACCCTGTCTCAAAAAAACCTAAACCAAACCAAAACAAAAAAAAAAAAAAACATTTCAAGTCTGACTGACTGTAACTCAGCATGTTGATAGAAGAAACTTTAGTATAGACTGAAAAAGCATTTGAATGGTTTATAGTGGTCTCTGACTAGTGCCAAAAATCCAGTCAGCTTTGGAAAGTGATTTAACTTTAATTTTCTCTTTATCTTGCTTCTGAGATGGCAGTTTGAAGAGCAATGCAGTGAAAAGAGAGAAAGGAACCCAGCAGTGGTAGCTCAGGCCTTTAATCCCAGCACTTAGGAAGCAGAGGCAGGTGGTCTCTGAGTTCAAAGCCAGCCTGGTTTACAAAGTGAGTTTCAGGACAGCCAGGTACACAGAGACCCTGTCTTGAAACCAGAGAGAGACAGAGAGAAAAAAAGCTATAAGGCTGAAGCCTCATTCAGTGCGTTGAGTCTTTCTATCTAAGCTCCATGAGTTCTGGCATTGCTTTTGATATTAAAAAAAAATAGTCGAAATGTTTTTCAGAATAAATTTTAATATTTTCATCTTTATTTATGTGTGTGTCTGTGATGGTGTGAGTGTATGCCGAGTATGCCAAGTGCACACCGAAGCCAGGAGAGGGTGTCAGAGTCCCTGGAGCTGGAGTTATGCCTGCTGTGGGGGCCGGGAATGAACGCCACCCCATTCCAAGAGCCTCAGGCACACCTAACTGCTGCGCCATCTCTCTAGCCGCCTGATGTTTTTAAGTAAAAAAATAATTTAAACTTAAGAGATAGACTTCCAGTCTTCTCCGAAAGTGCCCGGTCAACTCATATTTTTTTCTCTGAATATGTTTAATATGGCTCATAGTTATTTTATTTTTTTAGAGGAAAGTGTCCATTTTCTTCTTGCTTTTAGCTTTCCTGTCTGGCTTGGGATATGACTTTGTGAGCGCTTACCTCTTCTACCGTGTGTGAAAACCCTAGGTTCCATCCCCACTATGCAGAAACAATAAAACAAAACACACTACTCAACCTAAAGAAAGAAATAGAAAGTGAAAAAAAACAAAAAACAAAAAAAACACCTTTCTAGGTGGTTAATACATAGTTTTATTTTTTGTAGTTTCTTTTCTAAGACTTGGGCCGTCCTTACTGCTTTGTCTTTAAAAGTTTATTTCCGTCACGTGGAAAGCTGATGTGTATGTTTAGCACGCAGATGGCTTGGGAAAGGAAGTAAAGATAAACCTATAGAAATAATGTCGATGGAAGGTTTTTCTAAACTAAACGCAAAGACAAACTCCTCTTTGTACGAGAGATAATGTACCTCTTTCATTGTGGTCTCTTTGTTCTTGAGCTACAGTCTCAGTATGTCATCCAACCTGGCCTTGAACTCCTGTCTTAACCCTCGAAAGTGCTAGAGTTGAATTGCGGGTGTGTGCCTGTAGGTGGACGTGTTGGACATGGATTGTGCCGACGTCCGGGCCTTTCAGAAACACTCGCCTTCGCCTATCTTATCCGTAGACAGGCTGCGTCTTGTTTTGCAGTCTATTTCCCAATCCTGTGTGTGAGGAGCATGGAACTCTCCCAATCCACTCTCTCTCCCTAAGCCCCCACTTTTCTGAGTGGTTTCATAGGTTTATTGTTTGGGTACTGTGTTGAGTTAAATCTTGGTTCTGTTTTCCTCCTAGACTGCTCTCCATAGACATAATCAACTTTTCGTTGTTTCGAGGCAAAGCATCTTTAAAATTTTCTCAAGCTCCTAACCACAGAGATTGTGATGTTGCTTTGAAGAAGGCGACTAGTGACTGACTTCAGAGGAAGCATTCCAGTCCTGGCGTTTGTCCCCACCCCAGAATTTGAGGAACTATGGAGAGCTGGTCCCAGGTGACAATCGTGGTCTTGCTAGGACTCACAGTTCGGTGGGCGGTTTCTCTCCATCCTTACTCAGGTAAGCCACTGCTCCTGTTGAAAGATTAGTAAATGCTCCTCCGAGCGACTTTCTGTTTTGCCCATTTTGATGGCAGTTTATAGTTTCTGACTGAATTTGAGTTTTTATTGTTATGATTAAGAAAATGCATGTGTCTAATTATACTAAAAAGTGTAAGAGGTAAATATACTTTGTGATATGAGAAAACCAAAAAAATGTATTCTAGCTTGGAGTATGACAAATTGAGGTGTGATTATGTGTTGAGCTAGTCCTGGAGGATGGCCTCGGAGTCAGAGGTTTCTGTTTGTTGATGATGTTTTTGTAGAGAGGCACAGTACCAGATTGAGAAAGAAGAGAACAGTGGAGAAGAGTGAGGCTGTAATGAGGGATGGGACAGTGGCCCTGCAGACCGGGGATGGGGTCAGATTTAATTCTGCAGGTGTGTATGAGGTGCTTTGCTGCAGGTGTCACACGTGCTGGGTGCTAGAAACGTCAAGTGAATGTTGATGTCACCGAGCACGGTTTCAAATAGACGGGCAGTCATTGCAAGATGTGAGGAGGAAGATTTAGTTATGATTGAGGTGCAAGGGTAACAGGAGTGACAGATGAAGCGCGCCAGAGCGAACTTCAGATAGGATGCCTGACTTAAGGGCTTGAGGGATTAACCAGCAAATGCTAGGCAAATGGAATGGGCACAGTGTTCTAGAGAAAATGTTCATAAGAAAGTACAGTCATCGGTACGTAGTGTCAGAGTGACCTAAAAAAACAAAAAAAGAATTAAGATTAAAAAATGGCATCAAGAGGAATAAAACTAGGAGAAAAGAAAACCATTGAAAAATTGATTGTGTCTGTGGAGAAGTAGCCCAGGGAGGAAGCAGAACCGAGACGTAGGTCCGCACAGCCATTTTTGGAAGTGGCTGGAATTTTGGTTGTACATTTATCTAGGCAAATTTGGTTGTAGAAGAATTGTCCAGTGATAAAAAAGGTTGTAGGAAAAATATCGGAGGTAAAGAGACAAAATAGTACTAGTAGCCGTGAGAGTGTATTTTGATCATTTACTGTTCACTTTAGTATTTGCCATAGCCACTGAAGAGAGGGTAATAGCTAAATGTGCAAACGTAAAATGAGACAGTCATGAAGAGTAAGGTTTTGATACTGGACCATTTTTTTGTTAGCTTAGAACGATCATTTGCCTCTCCTAATAAATCTAAACATAATTGGGAATGAGAAAAAAAGTGGGCTGGTGAGGTGGCTCAAGCGGCCTGAATTTGGTTCTGGGACCCTCTTGGTGCAAGTAACTGGCTATGGCTCAGTCTCTGGAGGATCCAGCACCCTCTTCTGACCTCCGTGGGCACCGTGAACGTGATACACAGAGACACGTGCAGGCCAAACAGCACACCCATAAAAAATGTAAAAGAAACAAGGAAGTGAAGACTAGTAAGTGATGAGTGGGCTCAACTGTGATGTCTTGATTCCCGTCAGAGCTTTTCTGACTCTGTTCGGAGGCTTCTGAGAAAGAAGAGGCTCTGACGAGGACAGCTGAGGGTGGATTTAGTATCATGGTACAGTTAACAACCGAGTCACTGTGGAAGTCCCTGAATGCACACGTGGTGTGTTGATTGCGTGCAGCAACTTGTCTTCGACCCCTGTCCGGCAGATGGATTTGTACTGTTGAGGAAGTTAAAAGTCACTGAGGTGTTGTGCAGTAAAACCTGCGCTCAAACCTCAGTTATTTTATCCGTTAGTTGCCTCATCTCAGGGGAGTTATTTAATCTCCCTGAGGTTTTACACGAGGTAGGAATGCCAGTACATGTGTCAGCAACTTGCTTGAGGGATTAGTTCAAATAGTAAGTATGAGCTGTGCTTTTTTTATGTAGGAATAGAATCAGCACATGGTCTTGCCTCACCTCTGTTGATCATTATGTAACTCCAAATATGGCCAGGTGGGTCACATACCTGTAACCTCAGCACTCAGGAGGTAAAAGCAGGAGGGTCAGGAATTCAGGGCCAGTTTCGCTACATAGTGAGTTCAGGAGTTCAGGGCCAACCTGGCTGATATCAGAGCTTGTCTAAACAACAACAACAACAAAAACAAAAACCTCCAAAATTATTGTTTGCTGTGTAGCCAAAAAGAGGTCTTCATAATTCTGTTTTGTTTTTCAAGACAGGGTTTCTCTGTGTAGCCTTGGCTGTGCTAGATCTCACTATGTAGACCAGGCTGGCCTCCAGTTCACAGAGATCTGCCTGCCTCTGCTTCCTAAGTGCTGGTATTAAAGGCTTGTGCCACCACAGCCCAGCCTTGGTAATTACTAAGGCTTTAATAATAACAATAAGGATTGATAAGTGATATCTCCCTAGAGAAAATAACAGGTTGTTGGGCAGGATAGATATGCCAATATATATCACATTTAAATTAAAATAAAATGACTAGATTTGGAACATTAGATATTTTCTAATTCAGGTGAAAAAAAATCTTGGTATGTAACATTTAAGTATATTCTAAAAGATTTTGCTAGGCAAAAAATGGGTGAGAAGAACATTCTGGTACAAGAAAACATGAAAGAAAGCTGAGACATTTTTTGAGGGATGGAAGAATACAGGGTGTGCATAGACAAATGTTAGCTTGCCTGAGACCACACTTGTTTTTAAGAGTGAGTTCTAGAAGCATCCTGGAATTTGGAATAGGATGAGGAGGGGAAAGTGGGATTCTCTGTGCAGTGGCTACAGCTTACTAAGTTTATGAGAAGTAGTGCTCCACAGAGCTGGTTATGTGGTTCAGCTCACCCACCAGGCAAACACGCAGGACGAGGGAGGCTTGTATGGAAGCCATGTGAGACTCCTGGCTGTCTCTGGATAGCATCAGAACCTAGCAGTGAATGGAAGGGCGTGTGCCAACATGCTGTGCTCTTTGCGAGGGTGCTGAAGATGCAAACCCAGGGCCTCATGCTTGTGCAGTGAGCGCTTTGCCAACCAAGCCAGCTCCCCAATCCTAAGACCTTCTTCTTAATGCTCGGGATGGAACCCAGAGCCCCCCACATGCTAGACACATACAGTATCACCATCCATCTCCAGGCCACAGCTGAGGAACTGTGACACGGGAAGCTAAGAGACCTAGTGCATGGGAGATGGAGAGATGTCTCAGTGGCTAAGAGCACTTGCTGCTCTTGCAGAGAACCTGGTTTTAGTTCCCAGCTCCCATACTGTGCAACTCACAACCGCATTATTTTCTTTTAAGAGAATCATTAGGAAGCATTTGTTGGAGAGGAAAAATAGGTTTTCCTTCAGCACTCCTAGGTTTTCTGTTAGAGCACAGGTTGTTTAGTAGCAGTTTGTCATTGTTAAACAAAGGTTTACAATGCCTCTTAGAGTCCATCCAAAGCATTAGAGCCTCACAGGAGCAGAGGAAGGCCATTTTATGTTTGCTATCTCCCCACCCCTACGCCAAAAGCCATATATGTAGTTATGGGAAAAATCCTTTAAAAAAATCAACTTTTGAAAAAATTTAATTAGGAGGCATGACGGCATGCAAGTTAATTGGTTGATTTCATTTGACTTAACCTTTACTAATGCACCAGAAACAAGGGAAGAATCTCATATAAAAATGTGCTCAATTCTTCCCTTAGTATGTTTAAAGCTTGACTGTAAAGCATGTATTGTGGACAGACTGCTTATTCTGAACGTTTAAACACCGTTTTGAATAATTTGGCACTTACCAAGGTGAACATCGTTAGGGCTACTTACCCCATCTTCCTGGGACTGTCTGTAAGTGCATGGGGGTGTGTTTTCTCTACGTGGTTGTGGACCTTGTGTGAGTAAGTTTGTAGAGTTCATCGCTGTGGAAGGAATCCTTTTGCCCTTCTGAGTGAAGCTCCCACAGGCACAGTTGGGCTGTCCTTCTGGGTTGCTTTGAGGGCACTTTAGCAGTTTTAAAAACTTAAGTACTAATTTCATAGCCAGTGTCAGCTGGATTTATTGAAGTAGGTCAGACTCTGGATAAAAACTTGTTTCCCAACCCTGAAGAGAGTCGTTATCCATTCTTCTGTTTGTTAGAGAGAGGTAATAAATTCCTCCACGTTGACCACACTATTTCCAGAGTAGCTTTAGGAAATCTAGATAGTTTGCTGAAATCTTTTCTGACTTTATTATCCTAATGGCATTGAAAAAAGAAAAAAAAAATTAACTCCCTTTGTCGTCCCAAAGAAACCATATATTCGGTGGTTGTATTCATTGAATTAGCTCCACACATGCATGCCTACAACAAATGCAAAAAAATGAAAATAAAAATGCCTAACATGATGCCTACTTTAATTTATAGATAACAACTTTTTTCTGTTTCCAGTAACTGAAATTCGTACTTATCAACTAGGAAGTAGTATAGCCATATGGCAAACATGATGTGGAAAATATACATATTAGGAAAAGTCAGTAATTAACCTTTTATCTTTCAGAGTGTAAGGGGAGGCTCATAGGGGATTTGGGACCTGAATGATTTTGTTTGTGATTTTGAGGCAAGGCTTTTGTAGCCAAGGCTAACCTTTGCTGCCAAATTCCCGATCTTCCTGCCTCTACTCCTGACTGTTGGGATTCCAAGCAAGCACCAGTGTGCCTAATTTGTTTTGTGACAGGTTCCTGCTATGTAGCCCCGACTAGCCTGATGTAGACCAGGTAGGTGGGTTTCAAACTCACAGGGATCTGTCTGCCTCTAACTCCCAAGTGATGGAATTAAGGCGCGTGCGACCATCTTTGCCTCATCTATTCCCAACGAAGTGATTCTTACTCTACACCCAGCTCAACATTTTGTTTGATTTTTGGTGTTAGGTTTTGTACCTTGCACATGCTAGGCACAGTCAGTCATTAAGATACATCCCTAACCCTGGAGGTGGTTACAACAAGTTATTTAGTATGTGAATGTAGGTGCAGACACGAGGACAACTTCCCGGCCTCTGCTCTCCCCTGCTACTCTTACTCTCTCAGGGTAGCTGGCCACAGGCTTCTGGATGATCCTGTCTCTGCCTCCTCTCTTACTTTAGCGACATTGGGAGTACAGACGTGTGTCACCACACTCAGCTTTTCGTACGGATTGCAGGGATCAAATTTGGCCCGGCAGGATTTAGTGGCCACACGCTGGTCTCCTGAGGTGACTCCTGAAGGCAGCGCGGCTGAGCTGGTGGAAGATGTGTATGGAATAGAGCGCGAACAGAATGAACAGGAGTTTTAGAGGGCCGTACAGCAAAGGTGTTCGGGGCAGGAACCAGCACCGGGCTTCACATTCCAACAGCCAGGCCTGCTGGCCTGCTGGCCTGCCGTCGCTGAGCTGTACTGACAGTTGCTGGAGTCTGTCAGGTGCTGCTGTTGAGACACTAGGCGAACGCACCCTGGTGTTGAGTGAGATGAGAAAGCACGGCTCCTTCTGGCAGACGGCGGAGTGGCACATGCGCAAGAGTGCTTGTACTGTGCGCCATTGCTTGTGCCGGTTTCTCAGTGTGCTTGTCTATGCACAGGTGTACACAATGCAAAGAGCTGTTAGTCTGCTTTGCCCGTAATTACAGACTGTCTCCTTAGAAATTCCGGCATTCGAAGAAAACTAGTAGCGTACAGCCAACAAGGCAAACAGGTTTACTAAACCCGGAGGAAATCTGGGTTAGAGTTCAGTGACACACCTTTTGACTAGGTGAGACGTATGTATGGCTATTTTGATTTCTACCTTATTTGTTGACTTAAAAACCCGTGACTGTTGTACTTTGTTGGGCTTTCTCATAGTTCAGTAGTCAACTGCTTGTTAAATAGGTGCTTACTGTTTGCTAGATGGAGATTTGTCATCTCTGCGGGCATGAGAAGGTAGGAGTTAAGAAGGAGTCTTACGGGGGCTGCAGAGATGGCCCAGAGGTTAAGAGCACTGGCTGTTCTTCCTAAAGGTCCTAAGTTCAATTCCCAGCAACCACATGGTGGCTTATAACCATCTATAATGAGATCTGGTGCCCTCTTCTGGTATGCAGGCACACATGCAGGCAGAATGCTGTATAAATAATAAATAAATAAATCTTTAAAAAAAAAAAAAAGAGTTTTAGGTCCTGGACCCACATGGCAGTGAACTGTCTGTTAACTCTAGTTCCAGGCAATCTGACACCCTCACACAGACATAGATTCAGGCAAAACACCAGTGCACGTAAAATAAAAGCAAACCATTAAGAAAAACTGACTCTTTAAAAGAGAATTTTAGAAAATGGGTTTTAGAGCCAACTTGCTGGGTTTAGATGTAGAACCTGCTTTTACTACTCAAGTGACTATTTTCCTTTTCCCAGCCTTAAAGTAGGAAAATAATAACACTTAGGTCATTGGATTATTGTATTTAGTGCTAGACATATGTTAGTTATTAAAGGTTTATCCCTTATTTGTAACTTTAAAGAAAGCGAATTACAGCTTTTTATTTTTTTTTAAATTTAAACATCTCTTTACTTATTTACAATGCAGTGCTTGGCATTTGGAAGTCAGGGTGACTTAGTAATTGGTTCTCACTTCCACTCCGTGGGCTCTAGGGACTGACCTCAGGTTTGGTGGCAAATTCACGTAGCTGCTGAGACATCTCCCTGGCCTTCGAGTTTTTATATGAAGAATCATTTGATAGGAATTCAACCCCTATGTTTAATTCTGTGTTTGGCCTTAAGTTTTTTATTTTCAACTTGGAAATGCAGACAATTGTAGCTAACTTATGGTACTTTCGTGAAGTATTTGCATCGCTACTTTTCTTACTGCTGTGACCAAAATAACCAACAAGGAACCATACAGGAGAGTTCATCTGCCCTCCAGCCAGAGGGTCCGGCCCGTCACTGTGGGGAAGGCACAGTGGCAGGAGTGGGAAGAGCAGAAGACTGGAGTGGTCTCTGGCTAGCAGGCCTCCAGGCCCTGTCCCATTGACCTACTTTCTCAAATCTCTACCTCAGAATGCCTCAGCCTTGCAGAGCAGCTCCTCCAGCCGGGGACTTATAGGAGACATATCCTATTCAAACCACAGTGTTGGCAATAGTTTTTCTCGTGAAGTAAAAGTAAATATGGCGCCTGGCAAGATGAATCACTGGGTAGAGGTGCTTGCATGCATGCTGGACAGCTCGAGTTCCCTCTCTGGATCTCATAAGCTGGCAGGAGAGAATCCCCTCTTGAGATCTGATTTCTACATGTCACACACACAGGCACGCACGCACACACTAAAAACGTTGGGTTTTTTGTTGGTTTTTTTTTTTTTTGTGTGTGTGTGTGCTTGTTTATTTGATACTGAGTCTCACTATTCCTGCCTGTCCTGGAACTCACTATGTAGACCTGGCTGGCCTTGAATTCATAGAAATCACCCTGCCTCTGCCTCCCCAGTGCCGGGACTAACGGTATGCATCACCAAGCTAGCAAAAAAAAAAAAAAAAAGGAGAAAACAAAACAGAAAAGCAATCACACATACCTTGTGCTACTGATAAACTAATGTGCTACGATGGCCCTGCTCACTGAGCGTCTGCTGTGCTAGGCTCTGTGCTGGGGGTTTACACCTCTCTGGAATTTGCTCTAGCAGGTCTCTGAGTAGAGCGTGTGGCTCCTAAGCTTAGCGAGGAGGGTAAGGCACATGTTCATCACGTGGCTATTTGGTGGCTTGGAGTACGGGTTCAGGCCTCATCTCTGATTTTGGTAACTCCTGCATTCTTTCTCTAGCTTGTGTTGGGCTTGTGATATAAGACATTTTTATAAGGGGAAAAAAACCTACACTGCTATGCTAAAAGCTCATTATTATCCTCTTTTTGCTTTCCCATTCTAGGTGCGGGAAAACCACCTATGTTTGGTGATTATGAAGCTCAGAGACACTGGCAAGAAATTACCCTTAATTTACCAGTCAAACAATGGTACAGGCAATTTTGTGTTGGTTTTATTGTTTATCATAGTTAATGTAGATTATATGACGGCATTTAAAAGAAAGCACCATTTTCTTCATCTCTTGTGTATGATGCTTTGAATATGTTGTTGTCTTGCATATTGGATCTCATCTTTGAAGTTTCACAGTGCTGAAAATTACCCATATGCACACCAAGTTAGCCAGGCTATGCCATTAATCTAGAACTTCTAATGTTTATGAATCTTTAAGTTTTATTTGTTCCCATCACATGTGATGATATGGAGGTGCACTTATGCCACAGTGTGCCTGTGGTGGTTGGAGGACAGCTCTGTGGAGCTGGTTTTCACATTCCACGTTTACATGGGTTCCAGGGATCAAACATAGGTGGTCAGGCTTTGTACAAGCACTGTTTACCCATGGAGCCATTTTACCAGCCCTAAACTAGAAGTCTGATGTAAAAACACTGTATACCTTGGAAACCTGTCTGGGTGGATGGAAGCCAAAAACAGCGTCATGAGCAGACAGTACTCTTTTCCCTGTCCCCTTATCTATGCTTTATTTCACCAAAGCTTACTGTGGCATCAGCTCTAGGTACAAACAGAAAGGTCTCGGCAATAGTAACTGACTGTATGCGTGGAGCGGAAATGGAGTATTGAAAAGTTTACTTCTGCCCCTTTGCCCATCTCTGAGTATCGTGCATCTGGTGTAGGTCCTGGCACGCTGCAGACTGCTGTGACCATCTCATTTGTCCTTATCTTCCATGACCTTATCTCCTATCTTCCTCTGTAGTGTAAAGAAAAGGTCAGTGGTGTCATAGTATGGCTTGTGTGGTCTTCCGTTTTGTAGAACTCGGAACATCATAGGAATTGCTGTTATTCTCAGCCACTAACACAGTGGTAACTGACCACCTTAGTTCTGTATACACAGCTGTTTGGAAGTTTCACTGAGTGTCTCTGAGAAATCTCAGTGATTCAAAGGGTGTTTTTCATGTCTGCGGGTGACGCCCCTGGAATGACAGTGAATGTTTCTGTTTATTGTTGAGCCAATAAGGTCTGTGAACCCTAAAACAATGTGCAGAGTGCAGACCAGAGGCCACATCATAGCTCTGCTTTCTGTTGCTGGGACCTCTGCAGGTTATTTAATTTTCTCTTTAGTGTTATCGCTTGCAGAATGGAAGTAACCATCTTCCTAACTCATTGGGTGAATGAGGACTTACTAAGGCCTTTTCACACACTTTGCTCTTATAGCCCAAACTACTCCCCTCTCTTCGCTCTCACTGGTTCCCTTTTTCCCCAACCAAGAGCCCTCTTTCTGCTTTCATGCCTTACATATTTCACAGCCCCCTTTAAAAAGGAATTTAAGGTTTTTTTGTGTGTGTCTGTGTGTGGGCATGTGCATGACTGAGTCCAGAGGATGGTGTTGGATCCCCTGGAGCTGGAGTTATAGGCAGCTGTGAGCCTCTCCACATAGGTGCTGGAAACCAATCTCTGGTCCTCTCCAGCACATACTCCTGACCGAGGAGCCATACCTTCAGCCCTCCATTGCTTCTTTCCCTCTTCTCTCCCTTTATGATCTTGTCTCCTTTTATGTCTCCTTTCTAGTTTCTTGACCTTCAAATGTGTGTGTGTGTGTGTGTGTGTGTGTGTGTGTGTGTATAAAAATGTGAAAGTAAATGTGAAGATGGAGCAGTAGCTGAGAGCTACATCCTCATCTGCAGGAAGAGAGAACTGGGCTTTTGAAACCTAAAACCCCACCCCCAGTGACGCACTTCCTCCAACAAGGCCACGCCTCATCCTTCTAATCTTATCAGTTTACTTTTGATGACTAAGCATTGAAATACCTGAGCCTGTGGGAGCCATTCTTCAAACCACCACACTGTACTTGCTAGACAAGGAGCCGACCACCAAGCTGCACAGCTGTCTCTTTTCATCTTCATTTTTCTTTTCCCCCTTTTTAGGCAGTCCCACTGTGTAGTCTAGGCGGGCCTTGGATGGTAATTCTATTATTGCCTTATCATCCTGAGTAGCTGTGATTGCAGGCAGTGTGCAGGGAGACTGCCTCCCTCTCTTAGGAATTATCCCACGAATGGGGAGCCCGGTTCTTAGCCTTCCCTTGTCCCTGATAGTGTAAGTCTGCCTTTTTATAGCTTACTGTCATTCCAGCACCGCTTTCACGTATTATCTCTAGTGAATCTCAAGGTTAAAGTAAATGAACATTAGCCTTTTCTTTTTAAGCTAGAAACCAAATCAGGTTGTTTCTGTCAGAATGTAATCTTGAATGACTTGATGATTTCTCCTTGCTGTAGCCATACCATAGCTGGGTAGTTAATGGCTTTGGCACTTAGGTTTTGCAAGGCGGTAACTTGACGGCTTTGCATGTGTAGCCCAGGCTTGCACAGCTCTGGGAGGCAGATGTAGTGGAGCGTTGTTCAGTGTGCCCTCCGGTCGTGTGAATGTGGAAGTAACACAGTTGGTGCCCGTCGTCAGCAACCCTCGCTAAAGAGGTGAACCCTTGTGCACCAGCTTTCTGGCAGATTCCGGCCGTGCAGCTCTCTTGGAAAAGACATTGCTTTCTGACGTCTAGTGCAAGCCACTCACAGGACTCAGGAACGATGTGTGGACATTTCTGCTGGAGCACATAGCTGTGGCCAGCTGTACCATACCACAGTGCCCGTACCCAGATCAGTTGGCTCTCTGGTATGCTTTGAACATTTCACTAATCCTCAGCTCTCTGCATCCCTATCTTTCAAGTAGAGCAAATCTGGGTATGAGAAATAAATTACTTGAAGGAGATCTCTTAAAAAAATATGTTTTAATTTATCCTTTTTGAGAATTTCATACATGTATTTTGATCATATTTACCTTCCCTTACTCCGTCTTCTCCCGGAGACCGCCTTTTCTCAATCTTCCTCCAACTCCATATCTTTCGGTAGCTCACTAAATCCTGTGAGCATGTGTATGGGATAGAGCTATCCACTGGTAGGGTATAGGTACCCTACCAGATAGCTGGCTCTCCTTTCCCTAGCTGCCGATAGCCCCTCAGCTCAGGTGGGAGACCTTTCCCTTGATGAGAAGCTTGCTGAGTGCTAAGTCGTCTTTAAGTTAGGGAACTGGAAGCCGTGAGCCATTTGCAACAAGATTATGAGTTTGCTTATGCAGTCTGGTCTGCGTTGCTGTAAGTTGCTCTTGTGCCTGAGAGTGAAGTGGATGGAAGAACCTGCTTAGCTATCAAGGACACACTAAGAGGTGTATTTCCATGAACTTCATTTTCCTTTTAGAGGCACAGTGTTTTTCATAATTCCTTCACATCTGGACCTGGGAGGAACCAAGCACCTGTATGGAGTCTAGACCAGGTTTCCCCCATTGTTTCACAGACTCTTCTCTATAGCAGGACTGAGTTATATATGCTGGCTGAATTATTTTCAAAGTCCTCCTCAACCTGCTTATTCCATGAAGCTTTCCTCTTACCATAAGCCATATCTTTTTTTTTTACTCTTTTAAAATATATTTTAATTTTTTATATTAATTACAGTTTATGTACTTTGTATCCCAGCTGTAGCCCCCTCCCTCATTCCCTCTCAATCCCACCTTCCAAGCCATATCTTAAGGTATTCTTTGAAACTGGCTTTTTGTTTTCTAAATTATGCATTAAAAGTGCTCTTTTTCTAATTTGTTATGGTATCAGATACAAATTGTCTTTGTTGCATATATTTTATTGTGTGAGTATAATTAATTTACTGAGTCTGCTAAGAGTAAAGTAACAATAAGTCCCAGGCTCCTGGGGCAGCCCTGTTTGTATTTGATGTCATAGGGTAATCATTAACGTCTTAACTTGTTAAACCAGAAGCTTAATTTTAACTAAATGACATGTTATGTCTTGAATATTGATAACGCAGTGGTGTTTTTATCTTCCCAGGTATTTTAACAGCAGCGATAACAATTTGCAGTACTGGGGACTGGATTACCCACCGCTTACCGCCTATCATAGTCTCTTATGTGCATATGTGTGAGTTCTTCTTTTTTTAATGTAGCTGAATATAAACACCCTAAGACACAGTGCGATCTGATTCATTTAGGAGTGATTGCTTGCAGCTTCGGTCATATTACAAGTTTAAAAACCACTGTCAGATGTGAACATTTCTGTAATGCTTGTGGCGTACAGGCTAGAAAGATTGCAGAACTTAGATTGGTGGTGGAGTAGAGATGCTACCGACGGCACATGACTGCTGAGCAGTGATTAATACAAAGCAGCTTTTATTTTTCTGGAGTAGCCAAGTGAGTGAAAATTGTAGCTACAAATGGCCTTCTTAACTGACCTGCTAGGTTAGAAACTTGTGACTTAGTGATTTAGGATTGGTGCCCTCTTCCCCTTTTTTTTAGCAAATGAAGTAATTTGTAGTTAAGGACTTCTGTTTTGGCGGGGACCCCATTCACCTCTGTCGCACAGTTTCTCTTAGATTTAAAGTGTGCCAGCAAAAATTTGAGGAACTTCTTCACTTTGTCATGATTTATTTTTTCATCTTTTAACTGTTTTATGTTTAAAACAATAAAAAATTTTAAACTGTTTTAATATAAAGTAAATAAATTTTCATAGGTTGAAAATAAGCACCTAAACATCATGATGGTTAGATATACTAAGGATATTATCATCTGATTGAAAGCTTCATTTATCAATAATAATGGTTGAATTTTATGTAAAATTTATGATTACTATGTTTATTAAACCCATTGTTCTGGTAACTGAAGAGGTTATAAACAAAGTATGTTTTTAATAATGAAATGTGACATCAGATTCCCTTTTACACTAGGATGCTGAGGGTCAGATATTCCGTGGCTTTCTTGGAAGATGAGCAAGGCAGATGAGATGCTGTTTTATATTCTCTGTGAATTTTACATGATTAGAGACAAGGAGGAAAGCCTCAGTATTTAATTCTTAAAGTACAACGGACAGTTCTTAAATTGCTGTGTTCTCTCAGATATCCTCATTACTAAAGCCGAGAGGAATGAAGTGCATGTGTATCTGCTTCGATTGGCAGGGCAGAGTTTATAAATCCGGACTGGGTTGCTCTCCACACGTCACGGGGACATGAGAGTGAGGCACACAAGCTCTTCATGCGTGCCACAGGTAAAATAGTAGTTGGTGTTGGGTCAAAAATTCAGTTTTTAAAAACAACTTGGGCAAATGGATTAAAAGTACTGTTATCGTTCTTTTTTTTTGTTTGTTTTTGAGAAGCTGTCTCACCATGTAGCTCTGGCTGTCCTAGAACTCAGTAGGTAGACCGGGCTGCCCTTGAACCCGCAGAGGGCCTCCTGCCTCTGCCTCCTGGATGTTGAGAGTAAAGGCATGTGCCACCACTCCCTGTTGTTCCGGTGGCTTTGAAATTATGCAGTTATGCAGATGTATATGTGTGCATGCTGCAGGACTAAAATTATATGTAAGCTTTAAGCCAAAGGGAAAGCAATAATTCTGTGGGTTTCACTCTTACTGTATCACTTGATCCTCTGAGCATCCAGAAGGAATGAATATCCTACCCTTATTTTAAGCTGAGGAAACCACCGATGTGCAGTTACATGAGGCGGGAAACTCGCCGTAGGTCAGAGAGTAAGAAACTGAAGCTGCTTTCGTTTCTGCTGCTGCTTTAGTGTCCTGAGCCCAGGTTCCTTCACCCTTAAGGCAATCCTTACAGTGGTGTTTCATAGACTGTATTGTTTGTCCATTAAACAATCAGCTCAGACACCCCCTCCTCTTTTTCAGTGGTGCTGGGAGTCAAAGGGCCTTAAAATGCTAGTCAAGACCCTTTCACTGAGCTCTACCCCAGCTAGTCAACAATGTTTATTGAGCATTGTGTGATCCTTAGGAGGCTGAAGTTTTAAGCTTTGATTGCTTTGAAAGTACCATGTAACTGACTATTCTAGCTCGGACCCTTTGGTGTCAGTTAGCCCGAGTGCACAGTGTGTTCATCTGCTGTAGAATCTCAGGCCCAGAGGCAGCCTGTGTTGTCTGTTTGCCTCTTCCACATCTCTCTCCTCCTTCCACTGACCTTTGCTGGCCACCTTCTCAACACCCTGATATCTGCCTTTCCAGGAGTCACAGCTTTTAGGGCAGCCCATTCTAGTTTCAGAGAGTACTGGGCATTAACAATCTCTTCCTCATTCAGGATAGCAGACTTCTTGGATAGCAGTGTTGTCCTTTGCTCTAAAGGGACTGCATAAGAAGGAATTGTACATTGCTGTTTTTTTTCCTCTTCCTTGTTCTGTTGTCCCCCACCATCTCATCCCATCCCATACACACATGCACACGCACACACACATGCACACGCACACACACATGCACACGCACACACATACACACACACACACACTTCATGTATATTCCCAATTTCTTCATTACCCAGGACATGCAAGCGGCTTTTTTTTGTTTTTATTTTTTAGTTTGTTTGTGAACAGGGTGACAGGGTCTTGGCATGTCATATTGTCTAATGGCTGGTCTGGAACTCATGAAGCTCTAGGCTTTGTCTTGCTGACTGGTAAAATATGTCCATGACACACTGTGCTGGGCTCTCTCCAACTCTTTCTATGCACTCACTAGTAAAAGTTTATGTAGTTTTATAAATAGTAGCACTACAGATGCTTCCTCGAATTGTTCTTTTTGAGCAGAACATTTTGAGTGCATAGATGTGAGAGAGCACACGATCTTTCTGTGCTTTGAGCATTCATTTGAAGCTCAGGTCAGAGCAGCAGGAGCGTGACTCCGTCATCGTCTCATTGATTAGACGTGTGACTTTGTTAGGGAAAAAGTGAGAGAACCGTCTGGTGACGCAGCGTGTATAATCAGGTTCAAGGAGAGGGACGGGAAAGGGCTGGCTGGGTAGCATGAGTGCAGTTCTCAGTCAGGGCTGTGGGAGGAAGGCGGTCGTGGGCTGCCGGAGAGCCCGAGGGCTCATCTTACCAGCTTCTGTTTTAGTTTTAGTTGCTGATTTGCTCATTTACGTACCAGCAGTGCTTCTGTACTGTTACTCCTTAAAAGAAATCTCACCCAAGAGAAAGGTAAGTTTTAAGGCTGACATTTCATCCCTGAAATGTTTAAGGTATTGCTAGCCTAATAAGGATAGACTTTGAGGAAGGCCTGCTGTAGTAATGAGCTCTTTGCCCGCCACACTCTTCTTCACAGATCGCTAGCGCCTTGTGCATACTGCTGTACCCTGGCCTTATTCTTATTGACTACGGACATTTTCAGTATCCTTTACTAAGTCAGAGGTGAAACCGGTTACATACGGCCTAGGCTCAGTGCATGTAGCATGCCATCTGCTATTGTCATACATGCTAGTATGTACTCTTCCAGTTGATATAAATGGTTGAAAAAAGTCAGGTGTGGTAAATTAAGTCTTAAGGCTTTAGAGTTCTCAAATTTTTGTGGGACATATTTTTTTTAAGATGATTATGTATTCTTTCCCTTATTTTTAATTTTAATTTTATTCACTTATTTTCATTGTGTTTTGTTTTGAGGTAGGGTCTCTGCGTAGCCCTGGCTATCCTGGAACTTGCTGTGTAGACCAGACTGGCCTCAACTCAAGAGATCCACCTGCCTCTGCCTCTGCCTCTTCCAGTACTGGTAATAAAAATGTATACCACCACACCAAGCATTTTTTCCCCTGTTTATTTTTTTGTTTGGCCTGGGTATAGCTATTATTTATTTTAAGATTTATTTGTTTATTTTATACAGAGTCTCTCTGTGTAGACCAGGCAGGCCTTATTTTTTTTTTCTTTTTTCTTTTCCCCAGAGCTGAGGGCCGAACTCAGGGCCTTGCACTTGCTAGGCAAGCACTCTACCACTGAGCTAAACCCCCTGTTTATTTTTTAATAACTCATTTATTTTTATTTTATGTGCATTGATGTGTTGTCTGCATGTTTGTCTGTTTGAGGGTGTTAGATCTTGAAGTTACAGATGTGAGCTGCTAGGTGGGTGCTAGGAATTGAACCTGGTCCTCTAGAAGAGCAGTCTGTGTTCTCAAATGCTGAGCCATCTCTCCAGCCCAAAAAGTTATTATTGTTTACTGTATTAGTTATTTACTTTATTATTATTGTTTATTTTTCTTCTTTGAGACAAGAGTTTTTCTGTGTAGCCCTGGCTGTCCTGATACTTGCTTTGTAGATCAGGCTGGCCTCAAACTCACAGAGATCTGCCTGCCTCTGCCTCCCAAGAGCTAGGATTCCTTTATTTTTAAGTGGAGGTAACAGTAACCCTTACTAGGTGAGCCTGATTGGAGAATGAAATGAATTAGGATTTGTGATACACTTACAATAGTTCTTTGGAGCTGCTGAGCATTGTATGGGTGTTTGTTGCTGCTGGTATAATTAGTGTTTTGTTTTGATTTATTCTGTGTGTATGTGAGTGTGTCCATGTGGTGGCCAGGGGCAGTTGCAGCAGTTGCTTCACTCCTTCCACCATACGGTTCCGGGGATCGAACTCAGGTCATCAGGCTTGGCAGCAGGCACCTTCACCCACCGAGCCATTGACCTTGGCCATTTACCTTGTGGGGTCAAACAATATGCAGTGGTTCACTTAGGTCATAGGTAGGTGTTCTTCCCAGTTGCTTTGGATACTGTGTGTATCCTCTCTCTCTCTTTTTAAAGGCACTTATTCTTTATTTTCTCTGATAACTTTCTTGCATGTCTTCTTTCTGACCTCATTAGCCAGTTGTTAGACTTTTTATTTTGAAGGTCCTTCTTTTGCATGTTTGCTTTCTGTTTTGTGCTTTATAGATAATTACCCTGCCTTTACCATTTACTACCTCTGTTACATTCCATTTGTCTTCTTAGACATGTTTTGAATTTCTAATTAAAATTTTCTTTCTCTTTTCCTTTTCCTCTTTTTCTATTAATTCTTCATCTGATTGACACTTAGTATAAAAGAAGCATACAGTGACAACAGTAATTTTGTTGTCATAATTAAGCTTACTGTGAGAATAGTTTTATTTTCTAGATATGGCATATTCTTATAGTGCTATTGTAAAGTAGCTTAACAGAAACAAGGCTATGCTGTTCGTATTTATAACTTTTTTTCTTTAAATTTAATTTTATTTATATATTTATTTATTATAATTTATTCACTTTGTATCCCTACTGCAGCCCCCTCCCTCATCTCCTCCCAGTCCCACCCACCCTCCCTTTTCTCTCCCTATGCCTTTTCCCTATTCCCCTGATAGGGGAGGATCTCCTCCCCTTCTTTCTAACCCTAGTCTATCAGGTCTCATCAAGGTTGGCTACGACATCTTCCTCTGTGGATTGGTAAGGCTGCACCCCCCAGGGGGAGGTGATCAAAGAGCTGGCCACTGAGTTCAGGTCAGAGACAGCCCCTGTACCCTTTACTAATTCCATTGGCTGCTCAGTTTCCAAGTGGGTTCCCTAGTAAAGCGTATTTATAACTTTTTAAAACCTTTACGCATCAGTTGTTGTTTAACAGCAGACTTAATATATTTGAGGCTGCTTTGTATACATTTTTATCTCTTTAATGCTTTCAGTTCATATTTAGAAGTTAGCTTTCATTGTGTGTGTATGTGTGTGTGTATATATTATTTTTAAACCACACTGGAAATATGTTCTATAAAATGCACGCCCTGCGTCTTATTGAGCTAATTTCCTTGACATGGGAACATATATAATTCTGTGAGTCTTGGCTTTGCTTTGTGGGGTGTTCTTGGAGTATCTTGTGACTGGGACCTGCTAGGGTCATTGGCATTTTGCTTAGCTCTAAATTATAAACAGATGGAACTTTACCACTCCCTACCATTTTTTTTGCTTCTTACTTGGCAAGTGTTTTAAAAAAGGCCTCAAAGGAAAGGGGTAAGTGACTTTTAAAGCATAGAATTCAAAATCTTCAGAGTATTTATTTGCATACTTATCTGGAGGAAGGTGGTCTTTGGCTTTGGTGATTTCTCAGAAATGTGTTGGCCACGGGTGAATGGGAAGAAAGCTGTTGAGCCATGCTTTATATTCTTGTAAATCTTCATATGTACAGAACTGTTTTGATCAGTGTATGCTTTGGAGGTAGTGTGGGCCGGTTTGCTAGAGCACTGCTCTAGAGTGCCATCACTTTACGGCTTATCGTGCTTATCATATACACTTATTAGAAATACTCCCGCTGGACATTTTCTTCATAGCTGCATCCCTTCATGGCTGTAGCAACAGCATCCAAGCTAAAGGCTAATTGGGATGCTGGTGGGTCCTTGGCTGGAGAAATTAGTCTTTCTAATTTCTGGAGAATTAGTTGTCAAATTCTCAGCTATGTTGTGAGTGGATTCCTATTGTAAGTCTTTGTTGGTAGTACTGATTGACAGTACTGTTACTGTTATTGTATTAGATGATATTGACATCACTTTTCACAAAGCATTAGCCTCTCTCGGTCTCACTGCTCATCTCTGCTCTTTGTTCTAGGGTTGAGTTGTTTGTTAAGTTAGCCTGTACTGTCGTGGCTTCCTTCCTTCTGTGCTGGTTGCCATTCTTTACAGAAAGGGAGCATGCTCTGCAGGTTCTAAGAAGACTCTTCCCTGTTGATCGTGGCTTGTTTGAGGTATGATTAAAAGCAGACCCGTACTGTTCTATTCCCGCACCTCCCTTGTACTTTAGCGAGCTCATGTAGGAGATACCAGGAACAATAACTTCTGTTCCCTCCTCCACTCAACCTTTGTCAGTTATTTAATCCAGTGTAGCACCCCTAGCGCAGTTTGCATTTTTTAGTGCCTTATAAGAGTAGGTGATAGTTTTTGATGTAATTAGATTCATAAATCAGTCATACATTTTTTTCAAGTCAGATTGGTCCACAGTAAAAGAGCATTAGATGCTGTAGCTACAGTGTTAACAAGCCTGCCACTGTGTTGGTTTAGGTTCTCTTCTTAGTTTGCTACCTTATTTGTTAAGATGATAATCCTGTTTGCATTGGAATGATCTCATAATTCCTTATGAAATATGTAACCATTATCCATAGTAATTTTTAATGAGAATCTTTCATTTAATTCTAGTTTAATCACTCTTGTTAAACTTTTATTGCATGAATAATTTGATCATTTGGATTTAGTAATTAAGTTAAACAAACCATTTATTTCTGGAACAAGAGGTCTTTTAATAAACTTAGAGACAACATATTTATAGATGATTTGCTTTTGAATAATATTTCTTTTGAAAAGAATTAGAAAGCATTTCTAAGTTTTGAATACATAATTTCTGTAAAATATTTTCAGTGGATTTACAGGAGGATGAGATAAGCATTTTGAAAGAGACCAGGCAATATGTTTGTTGTCATGAAGGTAGAAGGGTGTGGGGCAGTTTTGATGTACAGGTCCTGGTGATTCTCTCCATTGCGGCTAACATCACTCATTAGGTGCTAGCCCCTTCACATAATTTTTCATGAGCCATATAGCTCTAAGATGGCTGTTGTTCCTATTGTACCTATAGAAAACTGAGGTCAGACATTCATAGGCCTGCTGTGTGGCAGAATTGTGATTTCAAGTCCTTCTTCTTTTTTTTTTTTTTTTTTAATACGAAAGCTGCCTGTTATTTGTTGTAGCTTCCATTTCAGAAAGTGTCTATGGTGGTAAGCGTGGCATGGTGTCAGCCATAGTCATAGCTCACCACCAGTCCCCCACTCCTTGTCAACCACAGACACCCTAGATCTTTGTCTTTGACCCGGAAGAGGAAGTAGCTAGGACAGTTGTTAGAGGCTCTCCCTCTCTTGATGTCACACCTGCACAACTGTGAGCTTTGCAGCTGTGTAGAGGATGTATTGTATTAGCTGGGGAGCTGAAATGGCAAATTTCATCTCGAGTGAGCCTAGCGCAATTGCTAATGCTTTAAAACGTCTTGATTTATTAGCAATTAGTCTTGTCTTTGCTAGTACCAATTAGAATTTGTGACCTAAAGTTAAATTTGTAATAAAATGGGCAAATATAGTTAATATTTATTTTGTAAATTTGGGAAGAGTTTCACTTAGTACACCGCTTTTTGAAAAATATTAAGTGTTTACTAGAATGTAGATTAGAGTTGACTCATGCTTTATATAATCTGCATTTCAAAAAAGAAAAAAATGCTTGAGGCTTAGTGTATACTTTTATTGCTTGAAGAGTTTAATCTACTTTGTTATAAATGTGAGTGAAAGTTTCATGTCTCAAAAGTTTATTACCTGGAGATTATAGGCTGTACTTCATGGAGTTTAATATTTCTTTCAATTATATCAAAATGTAAAACTAACAAATCTTTTTAAGGATAAAGTAGCCAATATTTGGTGCAGCATTAATGTTTTTCTGAAGATTAAGGACATTTTGCCTCGTCACATCCAAATAGCAATCAGGTAACTAACAAGTTTATATACAGTGCTTTATAAGCTACTCTTCAAAAATATTGTAGTAGTGTGTGGTTTATCTGAGCTGTCGTAGTGACTTGCCGCTTAGTACAATAAAATTCTGTTGTTGTCCCCGCCCCCATCCCCCAAACAGGGTTTTTCACTGTGGCCCTCCTTGGCTGTCTGGGAACTTCCTCTGAAGACCAGGCTGGCCTCAGAGCTCCACAGCCTGCCTCTGCCTCCCCAGCTGGGATTAAAGGCGAGCACCACCACACTGGGCTGCAACTCCGCCTCCTCTTCCTCCTCCTTCTCGTCTTCCTCCTCTCTCCCTTTTTCCCTCCCCAGTTCTTTTATGTGAACATTTGTCCTCATTTTTTCCTTTAAATAGATCATATATTAAATATGACTTAACATTATCTTGAAGAGTCATGATTTTCCCAGGTGTGCAACCAGCTTCAGCCAGAAAAATAAAGCAAGTTAGAGATTACTGTATGTTTGTGAGCTTACCACAGGAATTGGCCAGTGCAGTTGTGGGGGTTTGTGGGGTTTGTCTAAGCAAAGCAGAAGCCCACAGGGCAGGCATCAGGAATGTTGGGAAGGAAATGGCAGCTGACCGCAGTGGCTGTTAGGAGGCCGGAGCTGCCGTAGGTGGGCTTCCCCCTGGTTGCCATTCCCTGGGACAGACTCCCCTTTGCTCGACTTAAATTAGCTGATGGCTATTGCCTTTCTCATGGGCTCCAACTCTCAGAACAGACTGTAGCTCACCCTCCCCGGAAATATACAGAAAGGGAGGTTGGGGACTTGAGGCTCCTCAGCTCACAAGTTACAGAACCACCCAAAGTGAGGGAGTGAGGGTGTGTGTTGAGACATACGTCGTCTTCAGGTGCTAGGAGCTGTCTGTCACAGTCCCGAGGTGTCTGTGTCTGGCTTTTTTCCTCCCTACTCATCAGCCATCAAGCACTAGAGAAGCTAGCTGCCCAGTTCACTCCCTTATGATTGGTTCTTTCTGGACTTGAAAAGGATTGTCAACTTTTGTAGAGTGAGGGCCAGAAGTCTCCTGGAAGTTAAGTTTCTAAATATTTGTGTTGAAAATAGTGTTGTCTCTTAGGCCTAGTAGTGTTTTATTTTCTAGTGTTTGGTAATTGGCCTGCAACTCTGTGCCTTTATATCTTCATACATGATATTAAATGGTGAATGGCATGTGCAATACTTAGTGTTGTTTGGTTTTGTGTTACATCAGAATCATGTACAAAAGCGCATACATACTTCAGTGTGTGTTTTATTTAAATTCTAGTTTAAAATTTAATAAATAATAAACTTTAATCTGAGATCAAGTTGGACTAGTGAATGATGTAATCCTTCTATTTTAAACAGTAATTGTTTTAACTAGATCTCTAACACGGAAAACACATTTTATTGCTTTTTAGCTTTTGCTTGACATTTTTGAGCTTGCTTCCTGCATGTATAAAACTGACACTTCAGCCCTCCTCTAAAGGATTCAGATTTACTCTGGTAAGTTTCTCATTTTTCTTAAAATATTTAGTTCTTGCTGTAACTGACATTTTAAAAACAGCAGTAATTATATTCTTGTTTGGCCTTACGGATTGGGCTGCAAAATAAAACATTCACTTATTTGACAGACATTGAACGCCATCCTTGTACAGGTGTTGGGTTATATGTTAGGCTGAGCAATCAGAATCTTTAGTTTACATCAGAACTGTTGTGTTTCTGCTTTGTATCGATTGAGTAATGGGGGCCACAAAAGCGGTGGTGATGAATGCTTAACTGATGCTGCGAGCAGCCAGCATTGTGTTCTGTCAGACTCAGATCACGCCTGATGTGATGGGGAAGGGAGAGATCTCAGGGCAGGGTCTTAGAACTGTGAGTGGGATTCCAGGCAGGCTTGGAAGGATCGACAAAGCTGGGAACATCTGGACGGCAGAAAAGAAGCTCAAGGCAGAAGAGCACGGCGGGGAACAGACGTTAGATGAAATGCGTATTAGTGTGTGTGTTTGTGTCTGTTTCTGTATGTTAAGGATAGGTGAACAAAAGGTAAAAACCGGGGCGAACTTCAGAAGGTGCCTGATGTCCGGTCGAGAGGCTTGTGTGGGAGAGGTGCAGAAACAAATTTGGGAAGAGAAGAGAAACATACTTGGGTTGCTCAAAGCATAAAGGGACGTGGCGGGGGCCAAGCTGGACAGAGGAGACAGACAGTGACTGATGAGTTAGGGAGGAAGCCGGTGGGAGGTTTGAGATGGGCGTTAGGTGATCCGAGACATGGGTTTGAAGGTTGCTGCGGGAGGCGGGGTGCTACCAGTTGGGGTACCGTACTGGTCCAGGAGGCATGTAGGCTGCTTTGCCAACACTGGCGGAGCAGAAGGGAGCCAAGTGGGTGGCTGCTGTATGGAGGAGTGTCACGCACTTACAGAGTGGACTCCTGGGCAGCTAGAGCCACACACAGGTGACTTCATAAAGCAGTAACTACGTCCCACTGGGCACACTTTCTAAAGACACTGCGATCCATCTGTCTGCTTTTCAGTTTTAGAGTTTGACTCTCTTGTCTTTCATACTTAACAATTTACATTTATTCATTTTACCTGTGTGTGTGTGTGTGTGTGTATGTGTATGTGTAAATCAGAGGACAGCTTACGGGACCTGGTTCTCCTTTTCTATCAGGTGGGTCCTTGATATGGTTCAGCAAGGACCGGTACAAGCTGAGCCATCTTTCTGGCCCACACTTTGAATTTGCCAGGTTCAAGGGATGGTGGGGTTTGGTCACTATTATCTCCGTACATGGCAGTTCTGTTTACTAGTGGCTGAGCTGCAGAACCATTCTAGGTGGGTCTAGATAGCCTTTTAACAGTTTTTGTTTTTAACATTTATTTAATGACTTTTAGGGGGCGGGAAGCTTTACTCATGCCACAGTGGGCCAAAGGACAACTTGTGGGAGCCAGTTCTCTCCACCATGTGGGTCCTGGAGATTGAACTCTGATCGTCAGGCTTGGTGGCAAGCCCCGTATTCCCGCCGCACCATCCCAACAGCCCAATTATTATTATAAAATTGGTTAAATAGTATGCATATTCTGGGTTTGAGTTTTTACCTCTAGGTAATATCTATCATAGTCCAAGTGGATATTTTTATTTAGATTTGTAATTACACCGTTGTTAAAGTGTTAAATCATGTGTCACCCTCTTCTTTTTTCTTTTAAAAAATTTTAAAATTAATTTATCCATTTTAACTTTTCTTTTTTTTTTTTAAAGGTTAGCTGTGCACTATCGTTCTTTCTGTTTTCTTTCCAAGTACATGAAAAGTCCATTCTCTTGGTATCATTGTAAGTAGAAATTTTTTGAGTGTGCATTTAGTATAATGTTTATTATATAAGGAAATTTATAAAAATGTTAATTTAAATGCAAAATAGGACCACACATACATTGTTGCATATAACTATTTTACTTATTCTCAGAAATATATTTTGCTTTATAAAACATTTTAAACGAGCTGATAAAATTATTATTGACATAGTCTCGTGTCTCATATTTTCTTTATACTAGTTAAGCTAATCCCTCAGAGTGTCCTTCTCATTTCTTCTCTTCATATTTCATTCATTTCTACATCTATTGGATAGCCTCATTCTCTCTCCATTTACCTCCATGATGTCTTTTACATGTTGTGTTTTGTTTCTTTTTTTGTCCCCTGCTTCCCTAAATCACAGCCTGTAGATGAAGTCTTCCGACCCTCTTGACATTCCCGAAAGAGATTATTTTGTTTAAGAGCAGAAAAATTTTCCACTCTTCATAGAACTGGGTGACAACTGGGGCTGTGTTACCTTATTCCTAAAAAAGTATAAGCCTAGAATTCATGGAGTACTTGAATCTTCCCCAGGTCAGTCCCAACTATGTGCTGCAGCCTTCTGCCGTGCCCCACCTGGTGCCCTCAGTAGTCTGTGGAAGATGACCAGTGAGGTGAGGGAAGGGCTCTGCTTTTCTCCGGTGGAGCTCTGTGCTGCCTCTGTGGAAGGCATCTTGGCGAAGAGCTGCTGCACACGGCCGCTGTAGATGGGAGTTCATGTTACTCCCTGAAGCCTGCACTGGGATTACGACTTACCACTTTCCCTGTTAGGGAACAGTAGTCCAGGTCATGAGGACCTTGTAAGGGCTACCTTGGCTTTTATTCTGCGAGAATGGCAAGCCAGGCACGGTTTTTGCAGATGAAGGGGAGAAAGAGTGAGGCCCTAAGGACGTAGGGGTTGTGTTACTTAGATACACCTTGAGGATAATGGCTCAGTGGTGTCCATCTTTATTATTTTCAGAGCAGTGCCTACATGTAATGCAGTTTAGTTTGTGCGTGGTGTGGTAATAACATGTTGAAAGAGTAAATGGGAGGGAAGACTCAGAAAACCTTACTTATTGAGTACTACTATGTTTGTCCCCAGACAAACATATTGAAGCACTGGAATGGAAAACCCTCTGGCTTGATTTCTTAATAGGAAACAGTAGCTTTTGATGCCAAGCTTAACTCCAATGCTGGCTGACATGAAGGAAAACATTCCTTTAAGAAGGGGTGGAATTAGTTACTTTTCTATTGCCACGATAAAGCACAATGACCAAGGCAGCTTGGGAAGGAAGGGTTTACCAGGCTTATAGTTCCAGAGGGACAAGAGTCTGTCACCATGATGATGGTAAAGCATGGCAGAGGGCAGGCCCAGTGGCTGCAGCAACAAGCTGAAAGCTCACAGCTTAGCCATAGCAGGAAGCGGGGAGAGCAAATTCTGAACGGTACATTTAAGCGTCCAAGCTCAGCTCCAGTGATGTACTTCCTCCAGCAAGGCTACATACACCTCCTAAACCTACCCAAACAGCGCAGCCAGGTAGAGGCCAAGCATTCAAACGTCTGAGCCTATGGAGGACTTATCTCATTGAAACCTTCACAGGGGAAAATGCTCAAGCCCTTTGGAACCCTTTTAGACATGAGGGGAGAGAGATTAATAGTAACGGCGACAGTAATCCAACAGCTGTCACTCTTAGAAAAGCTCATTTTGTATTGCTAAGAACACATACCGTGTGGCACTTGCAGAGAACAGTGGATCTAATCACCGGCCTGAGTCACACAGGAAGTGTCAGCGGTGGGACTGGGGCTCAGGCCTTCTAACTAGCCTGCCTCTGCAGGAGCATGGATGCAGTCAAGTCCAGAAAGCATCACACACAGGCTGTGGAATGGCCGCAGACACCAGACAAGCGACGGCTCCACGCACCACCATCGCGTTTCCAGTCCCTGTGTTCCTGCCCTTCCCACGTAGCCTCTAACCATTCAGGCTCATCTTTCTTTTTAGTTTACTATCTTAACCTGTCCTGTTTACAGTTCACCTTCGCAGTCCTTCATTGATGCTACAGTCCTATTTGTCGTAACTTTAGTTTGAAACTGGCTGAGTAGCATGTAATATGGTAGAAGTTTGAAAACATTTGCCTTGGGATTCACTTTGTGTTTGCAAAGTAAAAGGAAATGCAAACGCTTCTTTCTCACGCGGCACACAAAGGGGTGCCTGGTAATGACCTGTCAGTCAGCTTTTGACTAGGCAGTTTTGAGAAGTTGACGCTTTCTGAGTAGTTTTTTTCCCTTTAAACTAAGCTTGAAAATCAGACATGTAGAGTATATTTATAGTTTTACAGGTTAGAGGTAAAATTACATTCTGTGACATTAAAATGTTCTCTCTTGTCATTTTAGACCAGTTTGCTTAGTTTTAAATGAAATCCCTTTCATGTCGACTTGGTTTTTACTAGTGTCAACATTTAGGTGAGTCAAACCAATTTCCATATAATTGTTGCAATACAATTTTTACAGAGTCTTTGGAACTCTCACAAAGTAATTATTGATTTTGTTGTTGTTTTTCTTTACAGCATGCTGCCTCTCCTGTTAAAAGATGATCTCCTGATACCCTCAGTTGTGACAGTGTTGGCATTCTCAACAGCTTGTGCCGCCTTCTTCCCACTGTTTGAAAACACTTCTGAAGAACAACTGCAGCTGAAGCCCTTCGCTGTTTCTGTGAGGAGGCGTGTGCCGGGCTTTACGTTTCTTCCCAGAATCATTCAGTATTTGGTAAGCTTCGTTTTTCACGTTCGTTTTGTGTATGTGTACCCTCATGCCTCATAGCACATGTAGAGGTCAGAGCGTTAACTTTTGGGAGTTGGTTATTTCCTTCTGCCACGTGGGTCCCAGGGATTGAACTCAGGTTGTCAGGCCTGGTGGCAAGTGCCTTTACTTGCTGAGCCATCTTACTGGTCCTGTTCAGTTTTTAAGAAGTGTATTTTCTAGCATGTTACTATTTTTTTTTTTTTTTTTTTTTCAAATTACTGAATTTCTGTTGTTGTTGAGACAGGGTCACGCTCACTATGTTGCCCAGGCTAGCCTGGAACCCACTGTGTAGCCTAAGCAGGATTTGAACCTCGCTTTTTCTACCATAGCTTCTCAAGTGTTGGAATTATAGAATGTCCCCATCTAGGAGCAGTCATTTCCCATGATACTGTCACTCCTAACCCCAGCCTCGGACAGCCCCTAACCTGCTTTTTGTCTCCAAACTTGCCTATTTGCATATTAAGGGAATGTCATAGTCAACTCAGGCTGCTGTAACAAGAGAGACAGACTGGGTACTTAAGCGACAGAAATATACTTGCTCACGATTCTGGGCCTGGAGGCACTAACTGTCAGGGTTGGTTTCTGATGAGTCTGCTGTTTCTGGCATAGCTCTGTTTTGCTTTTCCTTACATGGCCTCTACCTTGTCTGATATCCTCCCTTATTTTATACACACACACACACACACACACACACACACACACACACACACCTCAATAAGATATATATATCTTGATTATCGTCATAATTGCTTTTCTAAAAGCCACTTTCCAAATACAGTCACATTGAAATGTTTAGGCTTCAGCGTGTGAATTTTGGTTTTGCATGTACTGGTGTGTGTGCCTGCACCGTGGGATGTGTGTAGAGCTCAGAAGGCAGCCTGTAGGAGTCAGTTCAGCCCTTTCACCGTGTGGGATGCAGGGGAAGAACTGTGGTTGTCAGGCTTGACAGAGCACCTGTACCTGATGAGTCATCTCGCTGGTGGGACAGTTGAGTCCATGGCATGGAATCATAAAGTGCGGTCTTCCTGACTGGTTTCTTTCATGGTGTAGCTGTTTATGCTGTAGTATATATATCACTCCTTAGATTTCCTTTTATTGCCAAATCATACAGCATTAAGATTTTACAGTTTCTCCCCCAGCAGTTAATGGGCAGTAGGTTGGTTTGGGCATTGTGAATAATAACACTGTTAGGAACATCTGGTACAAAACCCTGAATCCCCGCTTTCATTCCCTGGAGAGTGTGGCTTGGCCTTGCGTTGCGGGACCCCAAAGCCAGGCACTAGGAACTCAGCGCCTATTTTCTGAAGTCAAGAACAGTTCTACATTGTGATGAAGATGTGAGGAAGGTTCTAGTTTCCATGTCCTTGGCGGCACTGTTACTCTTTTAAACCACAGCTATCCTGTTAGCTACACACGGGTATCATTAAATTTCATTTTGCAGTTTTCTAATGAAAGATGTTGCATATCTTTTCATTTCCTTACTGGCTGTTTGTTTATCTTTTGGGGGGAAATTACTTAAATATTTGTTCCTCCTCTCTCCCCCATCAGCTAGTAATTAAATTTGCACATTTTACGCAACCTCTCAGTGACAGCTATAGCTTCAGCCACTTTTATCCATCTTAAATGCAGTTGTGTGTTTTATTTTTGAGTTCCCTAAGTCTTTCATACGTTATTTAAAATACGTATTTTCGACTGGGTGGGGGACATGTCTCACCAGTTAAGAGTGTGTACTGCAGTTACAGAGGACCAGAGGTGAGTGTTGTGCATGTGTGAGAGAGAATATTTGCCAGTCTGTTTTATTTCTCCTTTCCTGTAAATGTCATGATTTTATTTTCTTTTCCTTCTTTTTTTTTTTTTTTTGGTAGCTGAATAAAACTGCATCGTATACATGTACCATTTTCTGTATTAGTCTGTTGGCCTCCATCTAGGGCGTTTCTGTTTCTTTGCTTTTGTGAACAGTACAACAATACGCACTGTGTGCAGACATCTGCATCTGCGTTCTGCTGACGTGCAGTATTTGGGTATATATCCAGGGTGAAGTAGCTTGATTGTCTAAGGGTCCTGCACACCCAGTCCTGGAGTGGCTGCTCCAGTTTACATTACCATCAGCGGCACGTGTCATTTATCTTCCTGAGGACAGTCGTTCCAACTAGGGCAAGATGGCAGTCACAAAGGAGTTTTCATTTGCATTAGTCTGATGGCTAAGCAGGTTGAACACTTTTTCAGGCATTTATTAGCCATTTGTATTTCTTTTGAGAACTGTCTGTTGGGTTCACCCATTGGGTGATTTATTTTTATGGTGTTTTATGTTTACCATTTTTTTAGGTATTACAGCTGTGAATCTCCTACCTGGCATATAGTTCTCCAACCCCAGCCCGTAGCCTTTCTTTTCACTCTGGTGATTGTTTCCTTTGTTGAACAGCTTTTAAATTCTGCATTACCCTGTGAGGATTTTTCCTGCCTACTGGGATCATTTTCAGAAAGCCAATGTCTGTCTGCATCTCAGTGTAGCCACATATATTTTCCTCCAGCATGTCCAAAGCCTCAGGTCTTAGATCCATTTTGACCTGATTTTTATGCAGGTTAAGATATAGATGTAATTTCATTCTCCATGGTCTTCAGCAACATTCTTGAAGAGGCTTTTCCCAATGTTGCCTTTTGATACCTTTGTCAAAGATAACTTGGCTGTAGATATTTGGGTTTATTTCTGGCATGGACCTCTTTCCATTGTTTTACTTGCTTATTTTTGTGCAGTTTTTTTAAGCTTAGGATTTTTCCCCTTGGTTCTTTGAAGAATGCCATTGGAATTTTAATGGAGTGTGTTGCATATATAGGTTGTTTTAAATAATATAACCATATATATATATATATTTTTTTTTTTTTTTTTTTTGACAACTTGTTTGATTCTGAGACAAGGTTCATGTAGCCCAGGATGGCCTTGGATTTACTGTGTATATGAAACTGGCTTTGAACCACTTATCCTCATGCTTCTATCTCCCAACTGTTAGAATTACAGGCATATGCTACCATGCCTGGTATTTGGGCTGCATTCCTTTTTGATAGTTTTTTTCCCCTCCCACAATTTCTCCCAGATCTTCCCCACTGCCCTTCCCACCCAACTTTATATTTTGTCACTCTTTAAAAGAAACAGAACAACCCCCCTCCACATATACACACAAAAGGGAATGAGACAAGCAAAAGATCAAATACCCAAACAAAGCAAAATGATAGAAAAAGTCTTAAAAAAATATTGAATTTGTTTTGTTTGCCAACTACTAGTGGCATGGTGCTTGGCTTAAAACAAGAAAGACAAGGACAGTTTAACATTCTTATTCAGGGGTTTAAGTGGAAAGCAAGATGTAAGGTTTATTTTGTTAGCATATGCTTGAGTACTTAAATGTATGTAGAACTATAGCCTCTTGTGACAGCTTACAGGGCGGTCCTAAGGCGAGAAGGATCATGGGCTCAATGTGAATGCAACACATTGAGTACTTGCTATGTGCTGAACACACTTGAGGTTGAAGGTTCAACAATGGAAACAAATGAGCATACATCCCTCTGCAGTGACCCTGAAGATTCATGGATTTGAATGCTTGGCCGTAGCAAGTGGCACTGTTAGAGGCGTGACCTTGTTGGAGAAGAGTGTCACTGCGGAGGTGGGCGTTGAGGTCTCCTGTGCTCAAGCTACATGCAGTGTAGTTCACAGTCTCTCATTCTGCTGCCTTTGGATCAAGATGCAGAACTCTCAGCTCTTTCTCCAGCACCGTGTCTGCCTGCACGCTGCCATGCTCCCTGCAATGACAATAATGGAGGCTAAGCCAGTCCCAGTTAAATGTCTTTCTTCATAAGATCTGCTGTGGTCATGGTGTCTCTTCACAGCAATAAAACTAAGACTCCCTCCTGTCACTTAAAAGTTATTTTAGTGCTAGCATGTAGAGAATGCATATCACAAGGTGGTAAGTAGTTTGGAGAAAAAGCAAGACAGCACGGGCAATGGCAGTTTTCAAGTAGCAGGGTCTTGTAAGGGACTGTGCGGATAATTGAGAATGGACTGTTCCTGGTGGGAGGAATCAAAGTACGGTATTGTGGTAGCCGTATCTCCCTGAGACAAAAGACTTCATGAGCTACTTCTACTATTTACTGAGAGGATAAGGGAACAAGAATATCTCCAGAGCCTTGGTGGCATATTGGAAGTCATGGACAGATGACCATAGTTGGTACTGCAACAATAAAGCAAAAGCCAGGTGACACAGATTCACTAGTGATGAAGAACTGAACACAGTATTATGCTACAGGCACTTTCTGAAGCTTTGCTATAATTATGAACATAAAATTGAGCTGGGTGTGGTAGTGCATGCCTGTAATCCCAGCACTTGGGGAGGCAGAGGCAGGCAGATCTCTGTGAGTTTGAGGCCAGCCTGGTATACAAAGTGAGTTCAAGACAGCCAATGCTACATAGAGAAATCCTGTCTTGAAAAACAAAAGGGGGGGAAAATAGAGTAAGGGCTTCAAGAATCATTTTATCTAAAGTGGGAGGGAAAAGCGCTGGAGAGATGGCTCAGAGGTTAAAAACATTTGCTGCTCTTCCAGAGGTCCTGAGTTCAATTCTCAGCAACCACATGGAGGCTCACAACCATCTAAAATGAGATCTGGTGCCGTCTTCTGGTATGTAGGCATACATGCAGGCAGAACATTGTATACATAATAAGTAAATATTAAAAAGAAAAGAAAAAGCTAAAGTGGGAGGAAATAATTAATTTACAGGATTAGAAAAATGTGTATGTGTGTGTATGTGTGTGTCTGTGGCTTTGTGTATGTGAGTGCAGTGCTTGCAGAGGTCAGAAGAGGGCACTAGCTCCCCTGGAGTTGGAGTTACAGCAGGTTGTGAGCTGCCTGGCATTGGTGCTGGTGACCAAATTCCTGTCTTCTGCAAGAGCAATATGTACTCTTGACCACTGAACCATCTCTGCAGCCCCAAAGCATTCTTGTTTAACTAGTTCAGAGTCACGGTATCTCAACTACTTTGAATATTCTCAAATATTTAAAATTATTTCTTAAATTTAAAAACTTGTGACTTCATTTTAGAAAGTTTCACACCCTCCTACCCGCTACTCAGGATCTCCCTTGAGAGAATCCTTACATTGCATTCTTTAAAGGCTGGGCCCTACCCTGCCCACTCTCCTTTGCGTGTCTGCAAAGCATTGCTTCCAACTCGGCTCTCAGCAATGCTTTTCTGACGGCATCACTTCGGCATCCATGTAGGCTCTACCTCCGGGAAAGTCACCACTGCTTTCCTGCCTTTTCTGTCTCCTCACCCAGCTTTTGGATATCTGCTCTGCTAGGATAGGTGAGTAAATACATCACAGGGAGGCTCACTTGAGCCAAGCTAGCCAGTTCAGTATGTGCACCGACATTTCTGATGCTCAGTAGCCACAGCTGTTAACAGCTCCTAGACTAAAGAGAGCTGAAGTAGGACAGTTACCGTAAATGTATATTTTTACTACTGATTTTGACTTTTACTCAAATAAGACCTTGTGATTTGATTTAATGAGCCTCTAACTCTTCATGGTTAAGGAGCCACGTTTTGTGTCCGTGTGCTTTTTTACAGCAGTAGCTCATTGAAAGCATTCTGTGAGCTGGTGCAGTGGTGCAAGCCTGTAATCCCAGCACTGGTGAAGGCAGAGGCAGGCGGGTCTCTGTGAGAAAGTATTCGGTGACTAATTTTTTACTGATGATGGGTACAGTGATGTCATGTGTTACCCTAAGGAAAAGCAGGAGGAAGGCAGAGCCGCCCACGACCTTTAACGTAGCAACCTGCAGTGAGGAGGCTGCGGCATCTCGCAGCAAACCAAAGAACATGTGCAGGCTGCAAACAGGACTGGTTGTTTTCCAGTCCTGTTTGCTGTCAGTGTGCTGCTGTCGGTGACTGCATTGGAGCGGCCATGCAGGGCTCCCTCAGCAGAGCTTTATCAGAGCCAGTGATTGGCACCGCAGAGAGCAGAAACCTGTCTCATACCCACTCCGAATTTTCCTTAGTAGGTTTTTACTTCACTGCTTGCTATTCTTTGTTCAGTTTTAGTCAAAGCACTTTAACTTTTATAAAAATACTTGAATCCAAGTTTCCAATCAGAATTTATTATCTTCATGACACCCAACGAGCAGTGGGAAAGTGTGCCCATACACTGATGTACGGAATCTGCAGACTCAAGTTTCTTCAGAAAAATAATTTGAAAATAAGATCTAAGAATATTACATAATAATTAGTTACTACGTAGGTTCATGAGTGAAAGAGTATTTATCTCAGATATAAGCATTAGTATCACTTCTTGTAAAGTTCTTTTTTTTTTATTACTTGGGCTCTACAACTAAGCATATGATTGGTTGTGGTTTTCTGTAACAATCTCCTTCTGCTTCAAAGAAGTTTCCTTGTGAGGGGGTGGGCCCTACATTTACCTATGGGTTCAAGGATAAATATTTAGAATGTGGGATTCCGCTGGTTTGGTAAAGTGGTAGTTGTAGATTCTCCTCCAAGACCCATGACTTGACTAGGCCTGCGTAGCTGGCTAGGTGTCCAGGCATGCTATCTCTTGCCGAGACCCTCCAATTAGAGAGCTGTCGGCTGCCACCGAGGTATGTGTGCCACTACTGCCCTTACGGTTACAGTTCCCTGCTGGTTGCTGTCACGGTTGTAGTGTCGTAGCCGGGTAGGACTGCGGGTTTCTTCCCTCCTCGGGAAGCTTGCATGGCACCTTCTGAACCATGAAAGCTAGTCCTCAGAGAGGAGGCTTTCAAGTCAGTTCCAGCTCGGGGGCCTCTGGGCCCTGCATCTGAAGTGCGTGGTGTCTTCAGCAATAGGGCCTTGGCTTCCACCTTTGAGGGGCAGCCACGGGTTAATTCCAACAACATGTAATGTTTTGGGAGTCTTGCACAACCCTGCACTGACTCAGAGGAGGGCTTCCCAGGCCTAGAGTTTTGTTTTTCGTTAGATGGTCTTTGGCTTTTGTGAACAGCATTAGAGCTCAGATACCAAAGTTTCATTCAAATTATGTATGGTAGAGAGTTTTTTCTTTTCTTTTTCTCCCTTTTTTTGGCAGTATGAGTCCTTAAGACTTAATGCAGATCTCCTGTTGTTTTGCCCTCCTCTTTCTTCCTGCATTTATTTCCTTTCCCCTTTTCTTTAGTTAGACCTCCCCCCTTCATTTCTCCCTTTCAGATCACTTGTATTCTTCCATTACTCTCCCGAAACTCCCAATTCTCCCAATCTCCCACATTCCCAACCTAGCCACGTCCCCTTTTACCTTCCTGGTTTCTGAAGTTACTCTGGACTGTGAGTCACATCTGAAGGTTTGAAGCCAGGAGTCTCGCATATGAGAGAGAACATGTGACAATTGTCTTTCTGGGGTCTGGGTTCATAATATTTCTTAGCTCTTTTAAATAAATTTTATTTTTTAAAAACAGTTGAATAGTATTTCATAGTGTATGTGTATGAAATTTTCATTATCCTTTCATTGGGTTGTTGAAGGGAAATCTGCCTTTTTAATGTTATCTAATAGTTTAAATAATATGCCTTCCCTAAAGTCAATTTTTAAAGAGGACTAACTTCTAAAATTATGCGTATAAACATGTGTAACTAATTAGTTGGCAACTCAGATATTTGGGTAACACAAGCAAAGCCATGCTTGTTAGAAGATGAAGTTTTGGTGTTTTATGTGGCCTTTGGGACAGTAAAGGTCTATAACCTTAATGCCTCTTGTATACTAGTACTGAACTTATTGGTCTAAATTAAATCCAGGCAGGCTGGAATCAGATTACTTTAGTGTGAGGCCATGCTGGACAGGAACATGAAGGAAACCCTGTATTTACTGCTGCTACCAGCTTCTCTCTGATTCCCTGTGGATACCCAATGTCCTATAGAGTGGTGGTTTTCTGGGTACTCAGACTTGTGTACTGTGCCGAGGAGAGGGCTCAACAGGTAAAGTGCTTGCTGTAAAAGCTGCGGCCCAGAGTTCAGATCCTGAGCACTTGTAAAAAGCTGATGAGCATGGCGGGGTATGGAAACTGGGAATCCCTAGAGAAAGTTAGCTCGCCAGACTAGCAAGAGATATGAGAGTGGCAGAGGACAGCTGATGTCAACCCTGGCCCTCATGTGCACGCACACCGTGTGCCCACACAGGTGCACGTACATATGCGTAAACATTATCTATTACTTACTGCATTAAAAAGACAGGTTCTGGGACCACTACGATGGCTTATCAGGAAAAGTCACTTGCTATCAAACCTGACCATCTGAGTTTAACCTCCAGAATTTGTATGGTGGAAGGAGAAAACTGGCTCTGGCAAATGGCCCTCTGACTTACACACACACACACACACACACACACACACACACACACACACACACA